GTATTTACACATTAAAAAACTTACTCGGTGAACATTCAGTGAATAGAAGTTATTTTCCAGAAGGTATTTTTTGTGGCATTTTTAAAGCTGTTACAGCTATTGATATCCTTTATATATTTTGGCAAGTTGTTATAAAGAAATATGCAATTTTAAAATGTAGACTTTTCAAATGTTGCAGTTTTATGTTTTGGTATTTCTAATATAGAACTTATTGATGGGTAGTTATGATGACTTCCTAACACGTTGAAGTCAGAAATGTTGCTTTTCAAAAAAATTACAAAATTCAAAATGAAAATAAAATGGGGCAGAATAGATGTTCGAAGACAGTCCTACATGACTCCCTGTATTCCAAATTAAATAATAGTCTAGTCTTTCTTTTTTGACAAGTGAAAACTCTTTCACATTCAGTAGCCAGTCCCCATGTTGCAATATTATTTGATACATGGCTATATGCAAACGCCTAGTATAAATTCAACAATCCCTTTTGGTCAAAAATTGGTTTCATCTGAAGAATTGCATAGTATGCTTTATTGATTTGTTTACAAACAAAGTCTATGAGAGAGGATAAACTAAGGTTCGAGTTAAGCCATATCCTGAGTCACTTGATGCTGTCACTAAATATTAGATTTTTATAGAAGGTTTTTGTAACTGGCTTTCTCATATGGAAATTTATGCAGGTTGTCTTATCAGTATTTGAAATGAGTCGATTTTTTTGGCACAATTGTTCCGTTTCATTGAGAGTTTTTTCTATATTACTGTGCAATTCTTCAAGGGTTTCTCCACAGACTGTAACTGTTGTGTCATTGGCAAACATTGTTACTTGTCCTACGGTAATATGATTGGGAGAGGAGAAAAATTAAGGGTCTCAAGACAGATCCTTGGGGAACACCTAGGGAATTAGTGCATTCATTCGATAATTGTTATTCTACTTTGATGAGAATACTTCTGTGGGAAAGATAAGACTCAAACCATTTCAACAAGACACCTCTTATACCCAGATATGAATTTTATGTTTAGGCAGTCCCAAGCTTTTGAGTAATTGAACATAAGAGACAACATATTTTCCTTTATCTAAGGAAGTGTAAACATAATTCAGTAAATGGTATGTGGCTGATTCTGTTGATTTATTTTTCCTAAAACCATGTTGAGAAAGCGTTCTACAAAACTGATTATTACATTGTACATACAGCGTTCAAGCACCTTTCGAAATCCTGTCAAAAGTGATATTTGGCGGTAGTTATCTATTGTTTGTTCGTCACTTTTTTTGTGTAGGGGAAATACCAGCGAAATTTTCGTCAGGTTAGGAAATTCTCCTTCGGCTAGAGATGAATTGATTAGTTTGGTTAAAGGGGAGATTAATATAATCAAGAATAATTTTCAGCAGCTTCGGTGACAATTCATCAATTCTAGAGCATGCTTTATTTTTTAGAGATTTTATAATGTTTGATATATCAGTCTATGTTAGGTAGGGGATAAATATACTGTTTGGAGAACGAATACAAACGGTACATGTGATTGGAGAGTTATCGCCAAAAAAGGTAGGTATCCGTTTTACTTTTTCACATATTCGAAAAATAATCTGCAAATTCATCAGCTACTTCTTTTTCATTTATTTATTTTTTATTTATTATGAAATGTTTATCACATTTCAGAGTAATTATTTCTTTATCTTTATTACTTCTATTTAAGTTTTCATTGATAATTTTCCATGTTTCTTTGATTTTATTTGAAGCTGAGTTTATTCTATTGTTTGAATGCTGACATTTTGCTTCAATTAGCCTTATTTTATACTCCCTTTTTTCCTGTACGTATACCCTTTTGGTTTCACCACAGTTTGACACTGACATGTACCAATGCAAGTATTGTAAGTTATTTTTTATCTGAGCTAGTTCTGTTGTTTTTGGAACGTTTGATAAGTTAAGTCATTTTTACTAAGGACACCTGACATCAAGGCATCATTTAATATTTCTGATAAATTCTGTATGTGAGCAAATTCTTGCAAGTTACTTGTTCTCAAGTCACAAAGTTCATAGTTTGAATTTGATAATTCATCTTTTGGTTTGAACTGGCTAAGTTTTAATAAAGAAAAAAACATTATGGTTTATGACGTCACAAATATAATATAAAGGGGGTATATTTAGAGAGAGAAAGTACTTTATTGTTCATGAATAACATCATGGTTACAAAGTTAAAAAATAAAAAAAAAATATATAAAATACATAGCACTGATACCAGAGAAAATATGTCAACAACAATTAAACTTGTTAATAAAAGGTAACATGTCACACTTAATACTATATAAATCTACACAACTATACATAATAAAAGATGAGCAACACTATGCGACATATGGAAATCAAATAAGGATTATTCTAGCGTTTCACTAAAGTATTCATTCAGACTGTAATAGGCTCTGTCTAATAATAGATTTTTTACTGCTCTTTTGAATTTATAGAAGGATCCAATGGTTTTTATTGCAAGTGGTAAGTGATTATATATTTTGCCACCTTTGTAGATAAAAGAGTCATATACCAGAGACGTGGTAGGCAGTGGGAGTTTGATGTCATTACTTTGCCGAGTTAAGTAATGTGAAGAATTTGAACCAAATTTATTCAAATGTTTTTTTACTTTGTGATTACGTACTGGTGGAGATACTTCCATTCATATCTGTGAAAACACGTGTTGGTTTATTTGTTGTTATTTTCAATTGAAAAGATTCCAACATATCATTTAATATTTTCAACTCTTGAGTCTCTTTTTTATCAAGATTAATATTAAAATCCCCAGTTAAAATTAAGTCAAATTTTTTATTTACAAAGTTCAGTACAGAATATAGATGTTCTTCAAAAACTGGTATATAAATATTTATTATTGCAATGTGACTGTCACCAGCATAATAATCTACCCCACACATGTCAATGTGACATTCTGAAGATAGTTTTTTTATTTGAAAAATGTCATTAGCTTTAAGTGTATTATTTGCAAAAATAGCGAAGCCAACTAGGATGGATCATGCATTCACTGAATTTATAACTCGTTTTTGAACTCCGAATTCACCAACGATCCGTTCGCTGCCGCCATCTTCAATATTTATATTTACTGTTTGTGCAAAAATTATATATCAAATTACAAAACAGTACTCACCTTTTTTGGGAAAATTGATTTGTACATCGTGATCCTTTCTAATCTTAGTAATGATGGCTCCTTTCTTTCCAATGATCTTTGGATGATATTCCGGATTAACTTCAATCTGTAAAGCATAAGACCGCAGTTCACGATCTTTCCTCTCCAATTCCAATTCCTGCACTCTTTCCAAAAGAGCTTCTTTTGCACGTTCAACATTGGAAACCGTACCAGTTATTTTAATTATGTTTTCTCTAACGTCAGGGGGAGAAAGAACAATATGAACATCAAACCTATCCATCAGATCTTTGACGTCACGCCCTCTTTGTCCGATGATGGATCGATGTAAATCGAAAGGAACGTCAACGCTAATAGTAATAGGAACCAAATCTAGGAGAGCTTGTTTTGCATCGTAACAATTGGATTCTTTGCCAGTTATTTTTATTACATCACACTGCCTAACAGTTTCTTCATTAATATCACCATTGACCTGCTCATAATTGATATACTCCTCTTGGTTGTCCCTTTCTGGAAACTTGATTTGTACATCAAAATCAGACGTGATGCCTTGAACTTTGTGACCCTTAGCACCCATAACAGTCCTGTGGTGTTTCTGAGGAATAATGCACTCAATAGTAACCATTGACTCAAGATCTGATATGATTTCATTGATTCTGAATTTAGCAGCTTCTATGCATTCTTTAGAACCTTTCAAAACAACACGGTTACTTTCTACACCGGAACGAGGAAATGATATTGTGACTCCACCACAGTCATCAGCAATTCTGTGAAGAACCTCCCCACGGCGAGCAACAAAGTGTTTGTGGTGGCGTGGCTCCACCTCCATTTCACTCTCTACAATGTTATCCTGTAAAAATAAGGTTTCAGGTAAAAGACAAAAAACAACACCTAATGAAATAGTTTTACAATATCTTTAATCGTGGCTTCCAAAGCTGCTTTAGCTTCCTCAACTGCTTCTTTTTTGCCAATGATGGTGATTACTTCACGATCATCGTCGGAGTTGGATGGAAAAACTATTCTTGCTCCTGTTGAATCTCGAATTTTTTTTATGTTAGCTCCATTTTTACCGATAAGAAACTTATGGTGTTGTGCTTTGGCACGAACCTAAAAAAAGTGAAACTGAAAATAATTGGGAATATTTTCTTGAATATCTATATTTGATATAAACATACACTTATACACGTAAGTCGCTACTCAATCGATGACATTTTTAATGATGATCTGGGTTGTTACTGTTATTGATTATCTCTATTTAGATAATTCAACCATAATAATAATATGTATTCACTTGGATCATCTATAGATGACATTGAGTATGTCAAAACGTGTACAAATACAAAATTAAAAATACAAACTCCGTTCACTTAGAGGTACAAATACAATTTATATAGATAATATAATAGTTAAAACCTAAAGTAATCTGCTATTTATGCAACAGCATCGTTATTAAAATCTGCCTAAAATGTTGGACATGTACATAATATATAATAGTCAAAACCAAAAATAATGTGTTATTTATGTAACAGCATTATTGTTAAAATCTTCCTAAGATGATACACATGTACATGGTCATAAGTTATTATCCATATATTCTTTGAGATGATAATAGGATTTTTTATATTCAGCATGTGGTATATGATAATTCATCATTCGCCTTGATAAACCGAGAATAATAACTGTTATCGAGTTCAAATTGTGACTTGTTTGAAAAAACATAAGAGACAATTCCATAATATAAAGAAAAGGAAGTGTTGATAAACTAAGTTTTGTCAAATTGTTCTCATAACTTGTCGATTTGGAAACAGCAACCAAAGATCAAACAACTCTTTTTTAGGTTCTAAAAGCATCATAAGAAATGTAGAAGCTTCCCAAAAGATTCAGACTAAACACAGTTTTTTTTTTATTCACATTCTTCAGAGTTTAATCCTGAGACTAATACAGAACAGTGAGTTTAGATGCTCATCGATTAATACGCCAAAGAATTTTAGGACTTGTTGTTTCTGTAAATCAATGTTTTCTATTTTGAGACTTCGGGTGTTGACAAGTTTTCGTCTATAATGAAAGTGTAGACGTTTCTTTTCTCTGGATTCAGACATAAGTAGTTATTTGTAAACCAACAGTTGATTTACAACAGTTTTCCAGGTGAGCATTTTCTCAGATACTCTAATGGAAGTGTCATCAGCACAAAGTGAAATGAGCATCAGTGTGTGAATTGTCGAGATCATTTATATAGCAGATGAAGAGAATAGGTCCGACGAGTGACCCTTGGGAACTCTTAAATTCATAGGCACATTTATAGTTTTAATATTGAATATTACTGAAGTTTTTTCTCAACACCAAACCGTTATTTCAATACCTCGATATGTGTTTTGATCACCAAGTGATCATATTCAAGAGGAAGATCTTCTTTGGTGATCGCAACACGTGTCAAGGTGTTGAAATAACGGTTTGGTGTTGGGAAAAACTCCAGTAATATTCATTACTACACAAAGGTTCCAAACAGTGCATACAAGTTTTAATATTCGTCAAACAGTTATCACTTTGATATTCGTTACGACCGGTCAATGTAGGATACGACTGGTCTGGTGGGGTTGCCTTCTTTATGAAGTACGGTACGATTTGTACAGTTTGATTAAACTTCATAAAGAAGGCAACCCCACCAGACCAGTCGTATCCTACATTGACGCTCCAACTAGTAAGTTGTCAAAATTCTTGAATTCTAAGTTCAGAGAGCTAACAAAATTTACACCAACAAATACCGTGATAAATTCCATAGATCTGGCCAAGAAGCTGGCCAATATTAACAACATTAATAACATTAAATTAGTATCCTTTGATGTGAAAAACATGTTTCCAAATATTCCGACGAACGAATGCCTTCCTCTGCTGAAAGACCTATTGGATAAACAGAATACCAATCCATATATCACGGAGGAACTATGCAACCTCTTTCATATCTATCTCACACAAAATTACTTCAAGTACAATGATAACTTCTACCTGCAAAATTCAGGCCTCCCAATGGGGTCACCATTGAGCAGACACTTTTATGGACAACTTAGAAAACACGTGTATCCTGAAGAATGCCTTATCCCAAAAACACATTTCATTCTGGTTCAGATATGTGGACGATATCCTCGTGGGTTTTGACGGCTCGAAGAGACAGATAAACCAGTTCGTGAACTTCCTTAATACTCTACACGATAAGGTAAAATTCACGGTCGAAATAGAACAAAACAACAGCATTAACTTCCTGGATCTCACTATTACAAAACGCAAAATGATCTCCAATAAGAACAAAAAATTGACCATGCAGGAACTATACCTAAATCAGGAAGAACATAAAGAAGGTAAAAAATATGCTAGCATAAGTTATTCAGGGAAGCTCTCAGAAAATATAAAGAACTATTTTTCAAAACTCAACATAAGCACATCATTTTCTAATAGGAATAATTTGGGAAACATGTTATTCAACGCAAAACCCAAAAGGGATAAATGGAAAAAATGGGGCATATACAGACTAGAATGTGGGGACTGCCCAGCAGCTTATACAGGTCAGACAGGCAGAAACTTCGACATAAGATACCGAAAGAAACAAACCATACAATAAATAAAGGAAACATGAAAATTCTTCATACATGTAACAAAGGAAGGGAGATGAATTTATTGGAAGCGTTGGAAATAAATAAATTGTACAAGGACCCCAAGTTCATAACGCTCAACGACCAACTAGATCTATGCAGCTCGCCCCTTTTGAATTTAGGAATTTTAGGATCCATCCAATAGTTGGTAATCGTGACATATTGTAATATTGGTAACGTGTTAGGTCAGGTACCTAGAGCAGATACCTACCTGTCCACACTATTTAAGACGCAACTTGTCAATTTGTGGCAATTACTTGAAAATGGCCTTAAAAGCCAAAACCGGTCGTAACGAATAAATAAACACAGTAGAAACTAGACAAAAGTATTTTCTTTATTCTATATACTAGTATAAATGTGAAAGTTTGTGAGGATGTTTGTGGCTCTTTCACCCATAAATGACTGAACGGATTTAGATGAAACTTTACATAAATACAGTTTATACATCAGAATAACACAATTTAAAAAGGTTTTGTGTAATTTTGATCGTAATATAATGATAAGTATCAAGTAAGCCGGAAAAATTCTTACTCCCTGAGAGCTATCTTGGCTTGCGCTGTCTATACTGTTGGAGTTACATGCAGATAATTTACCGTATGATTGTTTTATTTAGAACTATTTAGGATAAGTCCGCGATAGCATATATCTACCTCTTATGTGGTAGCCACTATATGCAAAATACTGAGTCATAAATACAATTAAATTGGATACTTTGTTAACAATGCACATTTTAGAATATCTGTCGAATTCTTATGAAAATTGATACAATTGTCGTTTTAACTCTTTCCGGTATGGTGATACACGTTTTGTACCACCCAATCTGTCTCACTTGATGCATGGCGGTACAAAATACCTACCACCATTTTCAAATGTTTCTACCGGTGTGCTGGAGCTGAAATATCGATCTATAGCACTTCTTTGAGGTTCTTCCTCCATGAAAGAGATGGCGGTAGCTAGTAGAATATAAAAGATAGCACGTGACATGGCGGTAAATGGTCAGTTAGATGAACTTTTAGCTCATTGGTGAACGGTCAATTTGATTTGGATCTCTTAGTGTTTATTCAGTTGATATAACCGATATTTCCTATTGATTCATTGTGTAAGTATACTCTTTTATTAATTTTCGCACACATACGAATATTTGATGATGAACAGTAGAAAAAAATTTACCTTTAGTGGTGGTCGTTATATGTACCACCATGCAACTTCAACAGTTTATGTGAACATGCGCCAATTATGAATAATTTTTAGAAATGATCATGGATAGGAGAAGTCCTGTGCCATTCAGAGTTGTGGAAATGACCAAGGAAGAAATGTGGGATCAGCTGTATGATGATACAACTAGTGGTGCAGAATCTTTAGCATCAGATATCGGAAGTGATGCCGAAGAAGAACCAGTTGTATCTGGTATCGTTCTAGAAGATGAACCTGAACATGCTGCGGATATTGAACATGCAGAAGAATATAACTCAGAATTAGAAATACCACTTTCGGAACTTCTGAGAAGAAATCCCAAAATGAAACGCAAACAAATAGTAGGAAAACGAACGAAATCATCCCAGGTTGCTGTGACGTGGGATAAACTGCAAACTGTTGACGAACGTTTCCCATTTGTGGAATCAAGTGGAATTCTTGATTTTGTGAGAGATTTGAATGGCCCAACTTCCGGAAAATTGTTCGAATTCTTCATGACAACAAACGTAGTTGAACACATTGTATTCCAAACTAATTTGTATGCCCAACAAATACAGCAACGACTGGGTAGACCTTATTTTCCAACCAATAATACGGAAATCAGGACCTTCCTAGGTATGAATATTCTGATGGGAATAAAAGTTCTCACTAGTCATAAGGACTATTGAAGCAGCGCTCCAGATATGCACGATTCTTATATCAGCCAACCAACTTATGAATGTTAATCGTTTCAGTTGGTTATTAGGTAATTTGCATCTGAATGATGATCAGATGATGCCAAAAATGATGTACCACATCAAAACTCATATTTTTTCTGTAGTTTCTGAAATAAAAAAATGTGAAACACAGATATTAGTTTTTTCGTGCAACAAGGGACTATTTTTCTATAATTTTAGCGTGCAACAAAGAGTTGAGTATTTAATATAGATAAACTATGTCTCTTACCCAAAGTGATTTGGACGAATCGTTTAAAAGTTACCATGATAAGATTAACTTGACGCAATGCAGTAAACCATTATGCGTCGCGTTTAATAAAAAAATATTGTAACTATTTGTTTAAAATGGTCTGTTACGAAACTTATGTGACAAACCGAAATTTATGTGGGCTAAGCCGCAGGAAACAACTAGTTCACTACATAAACGAGAGGTTCTACTACATAACTCAACCCTTTTTTCAGCTAAAATAGGGAATTTCATCTGTGCCACTTGATACGTTCGTTTTTTAGTTAAGAATAGATCAAAGTGACGAACTTGTCTTCAGAAAAAGGTTCAAGAACCATGCTTTCATTTGCAACATGACATTTATTTATAATGGGGAAGCTTCAGAATTTGATTGTTTCTGTTTAAGTTGTTTCAGCAAATAGTATAATGTTCAATAATCATGTTTTGTGGCCTTTAAATTTTTGTGTAATTTCAGATACCAACTTCCATGTTGCTTCATTTGTATTGTCACCGTTAAAAAAAAATTAATTTTGATAATATGTTCTCTTAGCTGTTTCAAATCTCTGTGCTTATTTGCAATGAAATATTCACTTATCTTTTCTGGAAAAAAGTGTCTTGATATAACGTAGTTATTTGAGACACTTGCTGGACTCTTCTTATTTTACAATTTAACCATTTTTTTGCATTTGATTTACATACTTCATTCATTAGTGTAAAATTAATATCAAACTCGTCCAATCTTGTTTGAAAAGTTATTGTTTGAAATTGTTTAAGGAGGTTTCATCAAAAGACCTTTTTTTGAAGTACATGTTATTTTTGGAGGTATTATATCGATTTCAATCAGGATTGACCTATGACCAGATTTTATGACATCCAAAACTAGAATATTACTTTTTTTCCCAACACCAAACCGTTATTTTAACACCTAGACAAGTGTTTCCATCACCAAGTGATCAACTTCAAGAGGAAGGTCAAACTTCCTCTTGAAGTTTGGTGATCGAAACACGTGTCGAGATGTTAAAATAACGGTTAGATGATGGGAAAAAAACTCCAGTAATATTCATTACTATACCGAAGGTTCGAAAAAGTGCATCACACATCCAAAACTATGTTTTTTGCTGATTCTTGTAAGCTATTTGAATTTAGGTTTCAAATTAAATTTACTTGAAAGATCACATAGGTTTATGAAATATTTGTAATTATTTTCAATAATATTGTATGAATCTAAATTTGAATCTCCACATAGAAAGATATTCTTGGGTTTATAAACGAATTTCAAGACCTTACGTAAATTTTCCATGATAACAGATAAATCTCCTAATGGATTTTATCCATATTTACACTTTGATAATTTTATTCTTAATCAATATTGACTCAGTTTGTAGAAACTAATCAATCTGATAATGGCTTGTAACATCAAGTGGATAATTGAAAATTTTGAAAAAATTCAGTCTTGAGCTGATAAAATAAAAATACATCAGAAACTGCTTATTAGTGAAGAACTATTCAAACTGAAAATAGCATACCTCTACACTATAACTGGCCAATTGCCTTTCATTGGCCAAGTCAAGCAATTGCTGCTTAGCACGATCAACATCTTCTTTTGGTCCCCTAATCGTGACTTTATCACTTTTACTGTCAGCAGTAGGAAATTTAATGGCAACACCTCCACAGTCCTCCATTATAGAATGAATGAGCTTGCCCTTAGCACCAATTAATGAATTGTAGAATTTAGGGGGAATTGTTATTTCTTCACTAACAATAGACTCTAACTCATCTTGTATTTTACGTATTTTGTCACGAGCTTCTTCAACGTTCTCCTTTTTACCAGTTATTGTTATAACATCATTTTTATCACCCTCGGCTGGCAAATCAATCTTCGTATTGGTCTCTTCACGTATTTTACGAATATTAGCACCACCTGAAAAATAGGAAACATCCATTTTGTGTTCTTAAAATTCAATTAAGGGCAGACATAGTGAATGCCATGAGTGAGCAGATTATGAATTTGCAGTTGGTAGAGAACAAGCCTGCCTAAAATGGATCAAGAATGTACTGGAAACAAAAAATTTTCAGTTGGAAATTATGCAATTTCTTTACTAAAAATTAGATGCAGTAACAAGAAAAAAGTCTCTTGAAAGTAAAAAAGAAAAAAGTAAAATAATTATATTGCATTTGCAGAAATCTAGAATGAAAAATGAATTGGAATTGAAAATTAATGTATTGCTAGAATTTTTTGCAAACTTGTTCAATTTGTTGAATATTTTAGGTCCACGTTACAGTTGACTTTTCTGATCTGATCCAACAGATGATATAAAACATTCAAATATTTGCGTTAATTTTCACATATATGATACATTACTACATATACATATAAAACAATCTGACAGAATTGATGAACAGATCCTGTACACCTGTTGGACATGTCACATGCACCTCTCCGGAATATGTTTATTATTCTGAGTCCCACCCTGGAGTGTGTGTTTATGGAGTTGTTTCCGGACTTTGTCTACAGATGGTGCAGTGAACATCCTACTGAATCAACTGCAGATAGAGCTCATGATTAGCTAGAATTAATTTTGTTTTTTCAGGAAGTTGAGTAGACATGTAGCATAGGAATCTGACGTTAGCTGTCAAAGTGACAACGTAAAGATTTTGCTGCGAANACTGTGGACCGTTATTATTGTTTTATATAATTTTCATATTTTTATTTATTACATGTCTTATATCATGTATATGATCGAAAAGACGAATTAAGTTATGTATTCTTTATAAACTTTTTCGGGTAACTGTAATTGTCCTAAACATTTAGGAGAAATTGGGTTAAATATTTCTGTGAAACAAGCTAGGAATGCACAACCTTTTCATAGAGCTTCTGTCACAAATTATACCTTTCCTGCTATGGTGAACAGATTACCAAGACTTGCAAATAGATATCACTCAGGCATAGACATATTTGGATCAACATGTTTTAAAAATCAATTTTTCAAATTAGCATAATAAAACAATACCGTTAGTATGAATTTATTTAATTTGTATAGATATGTTTCTAGTTTCAGTTTAATTATTGTAAAACAATTTAAATTGTGAATTGTAAAAATGGGTTTCACATCAACAAATGAATAAACATTCAAAAAACAAACCTAATCGCCTATATACATATATTCAGTCTGCCTGTATGAACTCAATTGGCACAAGTTTCAATTATCATATTGAGATGGATGCCCGCTCAACACGTTTTTTTTATGTTTATTACTTTCTTCCCTTGCAACTGCCGGCAGTCTCGAAAAAAAGTGAATGAAAAGTGAGGCAAAGACCACAGAATCTCATAAAAAAGGTGGCTCCATGCCGAGAACCAAATTATACACCTAAATATTATGGTGAAACCAAGACAGAGGAAATATAAGCCATCTCTATCAAGTACAAAAAACACTTGCTCGACATGACAGTATAAAAATTTGAAGAATTTCATTAGTTCGGACTACCATTGTCTGATATTATATAAAATCATTTGAAATCCCTGAAAAAACTAATGAACTAATTCTTCTCTTTTATTAGTTTTTTCAGGAATTTCAAATCATTTAATTTAATATCAGACAATGGAAGTTCAAACTAATGAAATTAATCACGAAACATTGTCAATCACCTTCAAACATAAAAATTTGAATTCAAAATTATTTCTGGAACTGGTTTTAGGAACTGCAGAAAAATAATTCTATACATATTACATAAATACTGGTCAACAGAAATTGGAAAATACTAATGAAGGTCAAATTTGACAATTCTTACCTTTTCCAATTATAAACTTATGGAACTGTTTGAATATTGGAACTTCTATTTGATATGATGATTCTCCTAGTTCTTTTACTAGCTTCTCTAAGTACCTTGCACACTTGTCCACGTCTTCTTTTGGTCCTCTCACTTTAACAATGTCATTTCTGTCTCCTGGACCAGGAAAGTAGATTTGTACTTGGTTGAACTTATCTCTTATTTCCTTGATATTATCACCTTTGGTTCCGATGATATTTCTATAATGACGTTGTTCAATAATCACATCTTTTTCTTTTTCATTCTCCAATTTGAAAATTCTCTGTTCAAGTTCGGTCTTTGTGCTTGCTACGTCTTCTTTATTACCTTCAATTCTGACTAAACCACTCTTGTCTATATTGATTAAAACTTTAAATTCATCTTTCAATTTATTGACTAGAAAATAAAAATTGAAATTATTTATTGATACTCTTTGAATTGCAAAAATATTGAAAAAAAAAATGAGAAAAACAATATTGTCAGTGTAGAAATCGCGTACATTTTTTGCATCAATTCATTCTTCAAGTATCTTGTTTCAATAGGACATACAGTAATAATAGATAATAATAATAACAATAACTTTATTTCACATTTAAACATTTGGACTCATCTTCTAATTACAATTTTGACACAGAAATAAAGAAAGAAGATAGATAGTTTATTTCATATTTTCGTCATTTTTACATGAATTAGATATGCCAAAAAAATGGAATATAAATAAAGATGTATATGGTAAAATTCATAGTTTTACTGTTTATTCAAATTAAAAGGGATATATTTTCATGAGACATTAATTTTTGCGAAAGAGAGGTTTTGGTTTTCTACTTCTTTATCTTTATAGGAAAAAAAATGTGGGAATCTTCCAAAGAAATGAAGAAAGCAACCAATTTCAAAAAAGTAACTCTAAGTATACTGTTTATATACGTTAATTGGTATGCATTTTATATTATATTATTCAGTTGTTAACGTTCCCTTGAGTTCTTGGCATCAGTAATTATTTATGGCATTGCCTATATTTTACAAAATATGTACTGTAACAATAATCCATAACTATCAGCTACATGTTATGAAAAAAATATAAAAAAAGCAAATATAAACCAATCAATTACAATATTTTCAGTATTGTTAAATGATTCCCAATAAGAATTGAAAAGTTCTAAATCTACATTGAATGTGTTTGCAAGTCTCAAAATTTTACCTACTCATTCTGACCATAGTTCGTATGATTAAAGGGTACTTTGAAGATTTCTGTTTTTCTTGTTCACTTTGGATTCACATTTAAGGTTATAAGTTCATCAAGTTCTGTAGAATTAATGCTACCATTGATTATTTTGTGAATTAGTGTAAGATGTGATTATAATCTTCTACGAGCCAGAGTATTCAAGTTAAGAATGTTCAGAGTTAAATGACAAATGCAACTGTTGCACAAATTATTATTTCAAATTAAACTTGAGTTCGTTCTGCGATCGATGTCGAAGCATTGCTTTGCAACTGATCGCCTTGGGAAGTCTCACTTATCGTTGATATTTAAGGACTGAATCTTCTATCGATCCCATAGATGGCAAGCATCTTCTTAAGGGGAGATGTCATCGCCTTCACTTATCAACTTGAATTGGTCGTCACATTGTAATGTTTTTATTTCTTTTAATACCGCTAAGCTCTAATTATTATTTTGTATACTTGTAACCTGTGTAATTAACTGTGTGAAATATAACATTAGGAAATATACTCACTGTTGGCACCATTCTTTCCAATAATGTGCTTGAATAATTTTGGATCAACATTCATCTCACAAAAAGTCATTCTACCAACTAGGTCTCTAGTCATCTTTTCTATTTCTTCCTGTGCCTTCTCGACTTCCTCAGGAGGACCTTCAATTTTGATCTTGTCTATTTTATCAGTGAACTCGACATGTACTTTTGGCAAGTTTTGTGTAATTTCTTTAATGGTTGCCCCCCCGCGACCTATTATATACTTATGGAGCCAATAAGGAGCATCAATATCACTTGATCGAACAGAATTAGCTTTCTCATAAACTACTCCTAAGGCGAGACCCAGCTTGTCATGAGGACCACGGAGCGTAATGGTACCTAAAAATCAATTCATGTATTCAATTATTTTCACTTTTTATCACAATGATAAATATAATTCAGTATATTCATGCAAAAAAAATTAAAAAAAACTTTTTTGTTGACAAAATAATCATTAGATCCAGCGCTATCCTGAATCAAGAGAATTTAAAAATCTACTAATATTTACCCAAAGTCGAATCACTCTGTGGCATTTCAACACTAACACCTGTAGTCTTGAGTATATCCTGGATTGTAGCTCCTTTGGGGCCAATAATGTATTTGTGCTGAGACTTGGAGACTTCCACTGATACAGTTGTAGATTTCTTTTCAATTTGTCTGTAGATTTCCTCTATTTTAGCTTTTGCAGCCAGAACACCTTCTTTCTCACCCGCAATAAAAATTTCATCCTTCATAACAGACGGAGGTGGAACATTAATTCTAGCGCCAGTTTCGGCAATCAGACTATTCAGATTTGAATTATATGGACCGGTGATGAAAGGATGGAAATGTTTGGGAATATCCAAACGTTCTGATGCCTTTTTGGATTGTTGATCAGAAGTCACTCTGATTTCATGTTCAGCTTTCTCGATACCTTCTTTTGTACCAGTTATTGTGATAACATCAGAATTCTCATTCATCGGTGGTACAGAAATTTTGGTGGCTGTATTTTTCTCTAAATCTCTCAAACGATCTCCCTTCTTACCCAAAATCCATCTGTGGTGTTCTTTTGGAATTGATATTTGTTTACTTGCCTAAAATCAATTATTCTTCAAGTGCTACTGAATAATTATAAAATTTATTTTTCATTTTCCAAAAGGTTTGATGATCCAAATATTTGTAAGAGTTAGAAATTGGTTTGTTTTGTTACAGACTCCAATGATACTGAAGATTAGATATGATTGATTTGAAGGTAGAAAGATTCATTATTTAGATGAGACTTTATTGAATCAAGGCCATACTGTCTCAAAGGTATGGCAAGATTTTGAAATAAAAAATTGTCAACAAGCTTTTATTGAAGGCCTCTCAACAGGATTGAAAGCGCCAGCTGGCAAAGGCGGAGGCTCATAATAACTCATTTAGGCAGCGATTCAGGTTTTTGGAAAACAGCTTGTTACTCTTCGAGTCCAAGAAAACTAGCGACTATCACGAGGAAATGGATGCGTAAAAGTGGAAAGTTGGTTTTTCTAAATTTTAGCAAACCTTGAACCAGACTATGTCTGATATCATTAACTGGCTGTCTCAAAAAATTTACCATTCGACGATAATATGTTGAAAGTCCAATTACTCAATATTGCAAGGAAACATATACCTCAGTTGAAGAAATATGTTGTCGACAAAATGGCTCGTGAAAGGAACGTAATTGTATACCTCCTCCCTCCTTACCATTGCGAGCTAAACCCAATCGAGCTAATACGGGTTCAAATAAAAAAACCATGTGACAAAGGAAAACTTGACTTTTAAAATGGGTGAGATAAAAGGCCTACTAGCTACTGCAACAGAAAATGTCACATCCGAGTTATGGAAAATATGTATTAGACATGTGATAAAAGAAGAAGACAATATGTGGGTTCTTGACATTAGAATGGACATTGCAATTGACCCATTGATTATGACCTTGAATAATAGCGATCGCGATAGTTGCACATCATCCAAAGAGTTTTTTCAGACGATAATGAATAATACAATAGATAGATATCTTTATTTACTTTACAGAGTATTTGTAGTCCTACATGAACACAGTGGCAGAATACATTGCCTGTAAAAGTACGTCGAAAAATACAAAATTTTAAATCTACATACACTTCAGGAAATATGGACTGTCAAAAATCACACATGGAGCTTAAAAAAATAAATATATAGTAGTAAATGCTAAAAAAACTAAAATACATCACACTTTTTTAGATACATCATACACTGATTAAAATTTTTTGACTAAAGAAATTTGATTCAAATGGAACTTTTGCATTTTTACACATTTTGAAAAAATTCCTGAATACTGTAGGGCTCCTGATCGAGAAGGAATTCTTTCAAAGACATCAGAAACCTGCCTACAACCTCAATGTTGCGTATATTTTGGGGGATTCTGTTATAGAATTTCATTACTTGATAGATGTACTGTAAGTAATTTTAAACTTTTTGCAGTGGTACTGGCTTTTGCTAAAACGACTTCAATTTTTTTGTGAAATGCTGCAAATAATCGCAAAAACAATATGATTAATCTTGAATGTGAAAATTGGAATTTTGGTCTGAAAATTTCAATTCGTGTCTTGTTTTAGATTATAAAAAAAATGTATTGTCCAAACAGGGATGGAAGTGTTAAATAAATATAGGAAATATATACATATCATAATAGTAATAATACATTCATGGAATATTTAAAAGAAAAAAAAGGAAAACAAAATAAAATTTCAAGTAAGTGTTTGATGATTTGCAAACATAATACAGTTTTGGGATAAAAGTGTTAAATATTAAAAATATACAAATACCGTAACAATAATACCTTCATTGAACAAAACAAATTTTAATGAGTATTTATTGCTTTGCAAACAGAATGGTTTTTATCTCTTTTTTGAATACATTCAATAGGCTTGAATAAAGGCATGCAAATATCTGCATGCACTTTCGAACCACCATCAAAAGCGGGGCATTATCAACACCCTTACGGAACGTGCCCGTAGAATATGCGAACCGGAACACCTACAAGTGGCTTAAAGATCGAATGAATACAGTGTAACTGAAATCAACAAGGCCATGAAATTAAAGACTTCCACAAGTCAAAATAGGGAGGAAACTCAAACGGTTGCACATGCATTTCCACCGTACATCCCTAGGGTTACAGACAGAATCAGAAAAATCTTAGGGAAGCATAAGATAAAAACAGTGTTCAAGCCCACCCGGAAAATACAACAAAGCCTGAGATCTGCGAAAGACAAAAGAGATCCCCTATCAGCTGTGTGGGTTATATCGTATACCATGCATATTCGGAAAAGTTTATATCAGTGCCACCAAAAGATCCATGGGTACAAGACTGAGTGAACTTTGGAGAAACTGTATATTAGGTAAAAAAGACAAATCAGCAGTAGCGGAACAAGCACTTATTGAAGGAGATCACACGAAAGTGTTTGAAACTACTTTCGATTTCTTCTGGGATCGCTATCGCCCAATTCCACAAAGTACAAACAAACTGAGTTTGTTGAATTCCTTTACAAAAAAAAACTTCTAAACTTGACGTGATGCAAGTGTGGAAACAAAAGACAATTCATAAAATCTCTATCAATCCAGCTTTTCCAAATTTCACTAATATATTTAAAGATATTTTCTCCAACAAAAAGTTTTGAAAATAAACTAAATGCTTTCATCGTCTTCCCTCTGGAAAGTTTATATGTTTCTATTATGAATATTTAACATTGAGAAAAAAGTGATATCTATATAACTCAATATCCATAGAGAAAGTAGTTACTTCAGATATATTCTTCTAATTTGTGTCTCAAAGAAATTTTGTGGTATTTTACATATTCTCTTACATATATTTTATTGATGTTTGTTAAATTTTTGTATGTTTGCCATTTTCCATTAACATTGGAGGAATTCAAAAACGAAAATTATCCACGAATTTTTTTTACAAATATTTACCTGAGTTTGGAAATGTGTCAAAATTTTCCTTCTAGCTTCAAGTACTTCGTTTTGTTTTCCAGTTATAAGAAACGTCAGAGATTGGTCTTTGGCATGCGAAATCTCAATGTGGGCTCCAGTTTCTCTCATAATGTTACCGCATATATGGTTAGATTCACCTTCTCCAAATTTTTGGCCATCCAGTCTTCGTTCTTCATAAGGAACTCTGAAATGAGTATATAATAAACTTACACAATATAACTACTTTGGCAATTGTTAAGAAACTTGACTTGATGACAATTTTGGGCCTCTTAATAAACTGCATGTTTAAGAGTAGTGCAACCCATTCACCAAAGGTCTCTCGCATCAAAGCTGCAGGAATAAAAAATAATGATAATGATAAAAACTTATATTTCCTTCAGAGACAGTATTTATAAAAATTGTAAAGTAAAGTCAAAAGGCAATTCAAAATATTAACACTTCTGTAAGAGAAGTTTCTTCACCTCAATTTTAAAAAGTTTATCTGACTCGATTTTCCTAATAGATGCCGGCAAGTTATTATAACAGTTTGTTGTATTAAATAGTGGGGAGCATCTAAAGTGAGCCGTTTTGTGTGAGGGGGTCCTTATACCATTTTCACACAATTCACTTTATTTGAGACACGTTTACTACACGGTAGCTTCATCAGTTGGACTGATGTATTTTATATAACACTAGGTTATTACAAAACTTTATCAGATAAATGATTAATTCTGGTTAAAAGATGTGGATTTTGAAAAACAATTACATTACAATATTACATATAGAAAAACAGGTAATTAACCCTATAGGAATAGTATTTTTGTTATATAAACAGTCTGGTAAGAGAAATAGGATAATGACTTAACAAGTCGTTCAAAAACATTACCATTTAGTCCCACGTCACAGCATTAAAAATTCGCTCACTTTAGTAGAAAAAATAAGTTGCCAAACTACGTCACACAATTCAATTTTAATTTCATTCAATGTAAAGGGTATGTTCTCTAACATACCGTACAACAAATGTGAGTCTCTCATTTTGAATATATTAGATCAAGCCAGAGTAGACCATGTCACTTCTTTTGAAATTTCAACAGCTTTCGATGTATGCTCAAATCAGAATTACTTACATTTCAATAAAATATTTTATATAAACAGGATTCAGGTGTACCAATGGGCTCACACCTAAGTCCATTTTTAGCAGACAATGTTATAGTGTTTATGTGGGGCAAAAGTGACCAAAATTTCTCAAAACAGTATGCTGAACATGAAAAGTCCTTCACTAGCTAAAAATGATTCGAAGTTTTCAAACCATTCCTTGGAATGCATTATGTTAATGTTACTACTATTTATTTGTTTATATTTATAAGGGGTAGTAATTATCATTGCCTTACTTTTACTTACATTTAACTTCAGTTTATTCATTTTCAAATATTTATCCATATTTTTCAGCACATCATTTATTTTGATCACTGCTTTATCGATATTCCCATCACTTACTGATATCAAAGTATCATCTGCGAATATATGAATGTAGTCACATTCAACATATTTTTTCATATCATTAATATACTCAATAAACTCAATTATTTGGAATCCTTGGAAATTCATAAACATAAGCATTGTGTATATAACCGACTAAATGACCAAATTGACGAGATCTACTCGCCGATTTTCAGATTAGCATAACCACATTGTCACAAATTCAGGTAAATAAAGTCATTAAGGACCATCTGTTATTTCCGGCTGTGATTATATAGGTATATTGTTTAAAGATGTACATTGTGTTTTTACAATTTATTGTATTCCTTTGAAAATATCCTTATAGTAGGAAACTTCCTTAATGTTAGTTATATGATAACATAGGAAGTAATTCTCATTTTTTATGATGATCTCCTACCACATAGTAAAGGCTACACCCATCAACTTTTCACCTAGATTTTGAATTAATAATTAAAATACAATAATTTTTCTAGGAAATCAGGTAATTTATAAATATTTCAATTATTGACATTTTATGGAAACAAGTTTAACAATGATGAGTGAGTAAATTCTTGTTGATCCAAAAACAAGCACCCAGAAATACAATACTTTTCTCGACGCTCGTTTCACCAACCAAGTTGGCAACTTCAGGACATGAAGAAAACTGTTTTCCTTTTCTCTGGACGCTAACTTTGTTGGTAAAATGCGCATCGAGAAGAGTATTGTATTTCTGGTGATTGGGAAAAGTGCTAGTTTTTTAATTTATTTTACGTCAAAAGTTACGTTTTACATTATAGTGAAATTGTTCAGCATAAAAAGAATTAATAACGTTTTATTCTACTTTCTTACAAAAACAACCGAATTGTTTCTCCATTTCTCTATGGAGAAACAATTAAACCATTAAACTTGTTTTATGAATTATCTGTTTTCCTAAAAGTAATTTTGTATTGTTATTGTTTTTTTAATATATCTGTGGAACAGTTTGATGTACCAGTAACTGATGAAGGTATCGTGTAGTGAAACGCGTCTTAATTAAAATGTAGATTGGAAAAATTGTATAATTATTATCATGGATAGTGTTATTAATTTTCATCAAGTAATGGGTAAGTGAATTCATAACATTATAAATACATATACAGGATGTTTCCAATTCGATCCTCACCATTGGGATCTCGGAAACTGTGAGAGATACGAAGATGGTTAAATTGGGGCAAAGTTGCGCATTTACCTGACCAACAATATGCCGTTGTGAAAGTTCTGAAATTCCGAGTATACCCGGAAAAACAAATTTCGGAAATTGTTTTTTATTTTTTTCTGGCTTTATTTTTCGAAGGATTCGAAAATGAATCACACTTCCACATTGCCACTTTTTCTCTGCTACATAATGGTGTTTTCAGATTTGCTATCCGACGTTTCGTCATCCGGCCACCATCATCAACTCTATTTTTTCTCATGGGCGCTATATTGGATTCTTTCTGTTTTGAATAGAACCAGATTTTACCTTTTCAATGATGTACCATAAGTTATCATTCTTTTTCGAAAAATTGAATATGTTGAAAAAAATTAATAGGCTTTGACTTGGATGTTACTAAATTTGACTTTCAATTTGTTACACTCGATGACATTTTGTTATCGTACAAGTCATTGAATTTTTGGCGAAAAATGGCTTTCACGAATGAAGAAAAAAAATATATGATACAAATTTATTACACATACGATAGAAACAGTGTTAGGATATCGGAAATGTATTTAAACTTGTATCCTGAAAGACGACAACCACCAAGTTTGGTTCATTTGAAAAGCTGAGGAAAAAATACGGAGACAGAATGGACCGGAAAAATAAAGAAAATTTGATAAATGAGGTATGTATGAGGTAATAGACATTGTGTCCTTTTCAATAAAAATTTATGATTTGCAGATAAACATGAACCCGGGGAAATATATACGTCAAATTTTCTCCGAAATGAATATTTGTCATCAAGTGCTTGGAGACATCTCAAAAAAAGCGGTTTAAAATGTTACGAAATACACATATCTCAAAAATTGCATCTGATTTTCCTGTTTTCCTGGAAAATGTAATTTGGACAGATGAAAGCACTTTTACGAATTGTGGGATATTCAACCGAAATAACAAAGACATATGGAGCATCAACAACCCCAGGCAGTTTAGAGAAATTCGACCTGAAGTGCGATTTAGTATTAATATGTAAGCAGGAATTTACAAAGATAGAATTTTGGGTCCTTATTTATTCAATGGAATTCTGAATGGAGAAACCTATCACCAGTTTTTAATGTCTATTTTCGAAGACTATTTGGATGATCTACCTTTGGCTAACTATAACAACATCTAGTTTCAACATGATGGTGCTCCACCGCACACTACCTTACGAGTATCTAATTACCCGACTGAAAGGTTTGGTGATAAATGGATAGGGGATAATGGGCCAGTGAGGTGGCCAGCAAGGTCTCCAGATTCAAGTGTTATGGATACATTCTTATGGGGTACACTGAAAAATAGAGGGAATACCAAAATATTGAGGACCTTCAACCCAGCATTGTTAGAGAGTTCAGAAGATTGAGGAGGAGGGAAATTAAACATGCAGTGAATAATATTCAAAGAAGGGCACTGTTGTGTTATCATGAACAAGGCCAGCATTTCGAGTATGCTGTGATTTAAAAATCTGTTTAAAAATCTGTTTTTCCGTTAACCAGCTGTCGCACCTCCACGAACGACAACCCTCAGAAGTCGAAACTTGTGTAAGCTAAAGATTAACGAGGTCTTACCTTTGAACGTGTGATTCCTAACACGGGTTGGACGATAGCAAGTGAAAATCGACCGTTCAGACTAGGGCTTGAACCACTGACCAACACGGCAGTCAATTCGAGTGAGAGAACAAAGCACCCACGTTGAACCGCCTAGCTACTGTCCTTACTTTTGTCTTTATTTAGTTAATTATTGTTATTTGTTGAAAGTTATATCTTCATTAAAAAGGATACGATGTCTAATTTACCTCATACACACCTCATTTATCAAATTTTGATTATTGATTTTGTCTCCGTATTTTTCATTGGCTTTTCAAACGAGATTTTGATCCAATAACTTGAACATAGTTCGATTCAGTTGTCGTCTTTCGGGATACAAGTTTAAATACATTTCGGATGTCCTAACACTGTTTCTATAGTATCTGTAATAAAATTGTATCATATCTCTTTTTTCTTCATTCGTGAAAGCCATTTTTCGCCAAATATTCAATGATTTGTACAATAACAAAATGTCATTGAGTGTAACAAATTGAAAGTCAAATTTAGAAACACCAAAGTTAAAGGCTATTATAAGAATTAATTTTTTTCAGTGTTTTCAATTTTTCAAAAAAGAATGATAACTTATGATACATCATTGAAAAGGTGAAATTTGGTTCTAATCAAAACAGAAATAATCCAATGTAGCGCCCACAAGAAAAAAAAAATTGATAATGGTGGCCGGAAGATGAAACGTCGGATAGCAAATCTGAAAACACCATTATGTAGCAGGGAAAAAGTGGCACTGTGGAAGTGCAATTTATTTTCGAATACTTCGACAAATAAAGCCAGAAAAAAATAAAAACCATTTTCCGAAATTTCTGTTTTTTCCAAATATCTCCGGATATACTCGGAATTTCAGAACTTTCTCAATGGCATATTGTTAGTCAGGTAAATGCGCAACTTTGCCCCAATTTAACCATCTTCGTATCTCTCTGTTTCCGAGATCCCAATGGTGAGGATCGAATTTGAAACACCCCGTATAGCAGTTTAGAAATAAGTTTTCTATAAATATTTCAATAAATTATAAATCTGAATATTGCACTTCTTAGTAGGGGAAAGTATGGTAACACTCAAGATACACAATAGTATCAGTCCTGGCTTTTATAAAAAGAAACTGAAACATGCTAGTAATTTTAAGATTATTCAAACTTATCATTTAGCCTAGCTACAATATATTTTGAAAGATTTGTAATTCTGTTATCCTTTATATACCTACTTCTCTTTCATGGTTTGTGAAGAAGACTATAATATAATCTTGAGTAAATAATATTCCTCAAGTTTTCATTTGCTACTAATTGACTATGCATAAGGGTCATATCAATATTATTTCTAAGTAGTTATTTATGCAGACATCTGAATACCCCAGTCTTATCAATAACAAATAGTTCACAAACTGATAATGAATGTCAATATACATTTTAGAATAATCTACTGGAATGTTACCCAGAATTTTGAAATTCATATGAACTTGCTAATGCAGAAGTGGACGATTACTTTGTCAGTATGTAATCAAAATCAGAATTAGAACTTGTATGTAAACTTTTCTCTATATGCTATCCAATGAAAGTAAATGCAATTCATTTTTTTAAATGTACATGGATAATATAAAATATTTATTTTTGGGAAAGAAAGGATTATTGGCTTTCTACTTCTCCATCTTGATATAAAAATGTGGGAATCTTCCAAAAACAGGAAGGAAGCAATCAATTTCAACATTAACTTTATACAAAGATGTGTAGATCATGCAAAGAAGTAACTTTCAGACACAAACTGGAAGAAAAAACCCTCTCGAAACAGCTATTTTCATATAAACATTGAATTACACGAGAGAAAAATACTTTTGAAACAAATATTTTTATATGAACGCTGAATTATACGAAAAATAATCTTTCTATTCCGTTTGTATTCCAAGTAATACTAATCTTGAATGTGAAAAT